CCCCAAAACCCCAAAACCCCAAAACCCCTATTTTATGAATAAATATTGACATTATAGCATTTTTTTAAATATGGAAGAAATACAAAAGGATTTAGTCGGAGCCAGGCTAGACCATGTCCAGGAATACCTGCACAAAATATTTAGCAAAAGAGTTGTAGTTATTGATGGAGCAATGGGAACATCCATCCAGCAAGCTCTTAAACAAGGAGTTGGGCAAGAAGTGTGTGAGAACAAGGAATTTTGAAGAGAGAATTTAGATATGATGAATATCACAAATCCTGAAGTGATCCAAAAGATCCATACCGACTTCATTGAAGCTGGAAGTGATATAATCTGCACAAATACATTTAACTCTCAGAAAATTTCCCAACAGAAATATGGGATGGAGGATAAAGTTTTTGAAATGAACTTCCAAGGGGCTAAAATTGCAAGGGAAGTAGCTGATGAACTCTCTGCTCCTGACAAATGGATACTAGTTGCAGGCTCCATTGGTCCTACAACTATCAACTTATCATTACAAGCTGAAGACTCTGATATAAAATTTGAAGATATCAAACAAGCTTATAAAGAACAAATAGATGGACTCGTTCAAGGAGGATGAAATGTTATTCTTTTTGAAACAATAGTAGACCTCAAGAACTTTGAAGCAGGTTATGAAGCTTTCAAAGAATATTTTACAGAGCACAGTCTAGAAAAGCCTCCTTTGTTTGTTTCAGGAACTCCAATAATAGATGGGAAATAACTTATCAGGGCATGATATTGGACAATTTTATGAGCTAGCTATCACTGCTGACCCCTTCTGATTAGGAATCAATTGTGGTTCAGGAGGTGAAGATATGTTCCAATATTTCGAACAGCTATCTAAAATATCCAAGCGCTATATTCACGCATATCCAAACGCTGGGTTTCCGGACAAAAATCTAGAATACTCACTGGCTCACTCCGATTACAAAACTCATTGCCAGAAATACCTATCCAACGGCATTAATATGATTGGGGGATGTTGAGGAATAGATGCTGCTCTCCTCAAATGCCTTCACTCCCTTTGTCCTGATTATGAGCCATATAAGCCAAAAGAAGATTCAAAGTATGATATAATAGAGGGGTTTTGGGGTTTTGGGGTTTTGGGG